GAGCAACTAAGCCCAAGCGCCACAACTACTGAGCCTGTGCTCTAGAGCCCGTGAGCCACAACTACAGAAGTCTGCGTGCCTAGAGCCCGTGCTCCACAACAGGAGAAGCCACCGCAGTGAGAAGCCCACACACCGCAACGAGGAGTTGCCCCTGCTTGCCACAACTAGAGAAAGCCAGCGCACAGCAACAAAGACCCAATGTGGCCAAAAATTAATTAATTTATTTATTTAAAAAAATTTTTTTAATTATCTCGGATTCCGGACTTACTTGGTGGCACAGTGGTTAAGAATCTGCCTGCAAATGCAGGAGACACGGGTTCGAGCCCTGGTCCGGGAAGATTCCACGTGCTGCAGAGCAACTAAGCCCATGCGCCACAACTTCTGAGCCTGTGCTCTAGAGCCCATGAGGCACAACTACTGAAGCCCACACACCTAGAGCCCGTGCTCTGCAACAAGAGAAGCCACCACAATGAGAAGCCCGTGCACCGCAAAGAAGAGTAGCCCCAGCTCGCCGCAACTAGAGAAAGCCCACACGCAGCAATGAAAACCCAACGCAGCCAAAAACTAAATTAATTAATTTTTTTTAAATGGCAAAAAAAAATTATCTTGGATTCCAAAGAGCTTTAGTTTATGCAGGTTGTATCTATCAAGTTACTGTACTAGTAATTAAAGCTGAGAATTTTTTAAATGTTTATTCATTTAAAAATAACAATAATAAACCTATTACATGTTAATGTAAATGACATAATTCTTATGAAAAATAGCCACAATTTTCAAGCCAAAAACTAAATCAATGAGAGGAATCGCATTGTTTTGCCTTTTTACAAAGTGTTTTAGCATCTGGCTTAATAAAAGCCAGCTGGCCTCTCATGTCTGCTTCTGCACTCAGTCTGTAGCCATATGTTGTTTTGGTCGAAGTTGATGATGAAAACCTGGTGTCGTGCACGCAGGTAGTTGGACATCTACTTTTCAGATAGTAACAGAAAGGATCTTGGGTACACCCACGGGTCCTCAGATCCTACTTCGAGAACCACTGGCTTCGGTAATGATACTACCGTGCCCACGGCCCACGTGGATCATGGGGGTGAGGACGAGAGGAGCTCAGGATGAGAGAGAAGATCACTGGGGACAGGGTTGGGGGGTAAGCAGTCACGGATGGAGTGGGGAACGTCATTATCCATTATCCATTGTCCCCAGTCCTCACTACAGTTGGCCAGGAATAGCCTGAGTCCCACTGGCTCCCTCCTGAGAAAAGGAAATGTTGGGATGGAGCATCCCTAAGTCAGCCCTGCACCATGATTGGGAGGGACGAAATGCTGAACGGGAACAATTCAGAAGAATTAGAAACAATTCAGGAGAAACAGTACAGGGTACCAGGAAAGAAGGACAGTGCGTCAGTACTCAAGCCAGGATGCACACTGCATCACCTGCAAGGTTTAAATGCTGATCCGATGAGCCTGACCAAAAGCCTGGATGGCAAGAGTTTGGAAAGCTCCACAGGCGGTTCTAATGTGCACCCTGGGGTGAGACCCACCAGATTTGAGTGGGCTCAGGGAGCAATCCACCTGGCTTTGAATCAATGCTCCACTAGTTATATATACAGCTTACTAGTTGTATGACCTCTGACCAATTACTCAGCTTCAGTTTGCTCATCTGTAAAATAGGAATACCACTAGGGATGTCAGGAATATTAAATGAGATCATCCATTTAAAGTTCTTAGAGCTGTGACTGACACGAAATATATATTTAGTAAGTGTGAGCTGTCGCTGGTTATGGTGATTTTTTGTGCAGGCTGCCAGCCTCTGTTGGCTTCCAGGGTGTCTCTGAGGAGGGTGCCACACAGACAGGACCAGGCACCCAAGGGAGGGGCTGGGGTCCAGTCCGAGCACTGCCACAAAGCAGATGTCCCAACTGGGTCCTCCATCTCCTCATCTGGAAATTCCAGAAGTCAGAGACCTCCCCCAATGCAGGACCCAGTCCTGAATCCTCAGAGAGAGAGACAGTTGGCCGAGGGGCACAAATGTGATGTCACTGGAAACAGGTGCAGGAGGAGTTGAAAAGGTGCAATGAGATTTTTCACAGTGTGTGTGTGTGTGTGTGTGTGTGTGTGTGCGCACGCGCACTCTGTAGTCAGGCTGAGATACTGTTTTCCTTTTTAAATTACTGAAACACCTCAAATCTACTGCAGTTGACAGAAGGGAGAAGACAGAGTGGAAACATTTTAATGGCTTTTTCTCAGCCTGTGGGCTGTCCACCGAGCCCTGGGATGAATGAGGCTCGCTCCTCGTTTGTCCTCAAGGACATGATCGTCACATGTTACACGCTGCACTCTGCCTGGGAGCTTATCCAATCATCCCCAAAAGTTAAGAGCAACACACGAGGGCCAGGGAAAGATGGAAGGACCTGGAATGCTCTCTGAACTGGCAGTCCATGACTCAATATTTTCATGAAGAGGTGGGATGAATCATGCAACACTTCTAGAATTACTGGATGTGGACAGCTCCTCCAGCTGTTCACAGGGGGGAATTTGAGAGCCTTCACATGCAGATGTTCTGCTGTCTTATGACACCCGCCCCATGAGATAAGCCTGCAGCCCCAGTGACCGATGACTGACTGGTTTAATTTCCTTCAGGTTCATTGGCTTTTGCAAATTCACACAGAGAGAAGCGCCAGACAGGCTGAAATAACTAACAGAAATGAGCTGGAGGGATCGTCCAGGGCCAATCCTGTGCCTCCCAGAGGAATCACACCTCATCATGCAGGACAGAGCTGTCCAGGCTGCTGACGACCACGGAAGGAGCCGTGAAAACAGGGAGATAATTGGATCCAGGGCTTAACACACTTCATCAGTAGCGAGAGTATGCAGGCTAATCCTTCAGACGTGGGGGGCTCAGGCTGCAACTGATAAACCTCATTACAGGATCAACCCTCACATCCGGGTCTTGATTTTTGACACTAACTTAAGCCTTAGACATGTTGGGCTGATTAAGGGGGCAGGAGACTGGCCCCCATGTCGGAATCTCACCTTCCTGCCAGCCCCACACCAGACACATTTGGAGGCCAGATTCTGATGGAGAAAGTGGCTGAAAGCAAAGAGGGATTGGGGTTTTTATGTTCTGTTGTTTGTTTGGTTGTTCATTTGTTTGTTTGTTTGGTTGGTTGGTTGGTTGGATGAGAGAGAAGATGGCTGGGGACAGGGTTGGGGGGTAAGCAGTCAAGGATGGAGTGGGGAACGTCATTATCCTTTATCCATTGTCCCCACTCCTCACTACAGTTGGCCAGGAATAGCCTGAGTCCCACTGGCTCCCTCCTGTTTGGTTGGTTGGCTGTTTGGCTATTTGGCTGTTTGGTTGGTTGGCTGTTTGGCTGTTTGGTTGGTTGGTTGGTTGGTTGGTTGGTTGGTTGGCTGTTTGGCTGTTTGTTTGTTTGTTTGTTTGGTTGGTTGGTTGGTTGGTTGGCTGTTTGGCTGTTTGGTTGGTTGGTTGGTTGGCTGGCTGGTTGGTTGGTTGGTTGGCTGTTTGGCTGTTTGGTTGGTTGATTGGTTGGTTGGTTGGTTGGCTGTTTGGCTGTTTGGTTGGTTGGTTGGTTGGTTGGTTGTTTGGTTGGCTAGCTGGTTGGTTGGTTGGTTGGTTGGTTGGTTGGCTGTTTGGCTGTTTGGTTGGTTGGTTGGTTGGTTGGTTGGTTGGCTGTTTGGCTGTTTGGTTGGTTGGTTGGTTGGTTGGTTGTTTGGTTGGTTGGTTGGTTGGCTGGCTGGTTGGTTAGTTGGTTGGTTGGTTGGTTGGCTGTTTGGCTGTTTGGTTGGTTGGTTGGTTGGTTGGTTGGCTGGTTAGTTGTTTGGATGGTTGCATTCACCTCTAAATGTATGTTTCATTGAGAGGCAATTTACTAGCTTGAACATCCACTTTGCCAGCATGTTCTACTTGGTATGAAAAGATTTTCCAGACTTTGCCAGCATGCTTCACCCTGTTCTGGGGGTATTTCCTTGCACATGCTCTCCGAGGTGACGCTGTGCCCTTGTCACCTTGGAGGGGTTGCTGGACCTCACCAGGAGGTGAGGTGCCAAAGCTCTGCCTGTAATTTCTTCCTCAGGAGAAGATGCTGGGTTCTGTCCCTGCCTCCTCAGGACAGACAGCCAACCGAAGCGGGTGGGTGGGTGGTGATCTGGTCTCAAACACGGACTCAGGCCCCCACCAGCTCTGATCCACACTCCACAGAGAAACGAGCCCCTGTGGTCTCCTGAATGGGAAAGACCTCCACCCCCTCACTCCTCAGCCTCTCCCTCCGCAGACCACGCTGGGCAGGACGGGGGCCAGGCTCACAGCAGAATACGTTCAGCTCCTCAGCATCTGCTGAAGCTCGTCCCCAGTTCAGGGCCCTCCCCCAGGGATCTCACCATGGGGTATTTTTTTCCTGTGTAAAGTGTTAGGTTTAAGGAAGCTACGAAGCTGCATGAATTGACTTAAATTTGCCTAAAATATAGAGCTTCTAATGCTAGCATCACAAAGGAATCCTCTCATCCCATATTCTTTCTTTCCTTCTTTCTTTTAATGAGGCTAAATTGACTAAAATAATTTAACTGCATTGAGAGTGGCAATTTTTAGGCAAACAAGACTCATCCATTTTGGACAAGTCTAAAATGCTTAAAAAGTCTATAAAATTAGTTCACTACGTTTCTCAGATATTTGAGTTTTACACCCCAAATTATATTTGTTTTGTGAACAAATATTTCATTACCTCTGCTCATTCCCCTACTACCTGGCCTGTGGGCTCGGGAAAAGTGAATCAATTAGGTTAACACAGGGAGGGGACAGAAAAGGAGGGTGAAGGAGCCACTCCCCCATACCGACCACATTGTCTGTTTCCCCCAGGGCAAAATTAATGTGCTTCCTTCCACAAGTCACAAAAGCAAATAAAACAAAACAAAATATTTTTCTTTCTCTGTCTCTCTCTCTCTCCTTCACTCACACACACACGACACCAAAATAACAATGAAACTTACCTGATCCTGAATTGTACATTTTATCAGAGGCAGACCCATGGTAAACATCACTCTCTGAAATGTCAAAGCTCTCATTTCATCCAGACTCAAATCATACCTGTGACAAATGGATACAAAATGGATGTTAAGACGTTGGACTGATGGTGACCATGAGTGGAGCCTTTGGACCCAGGGATCTGACAGAACAGACATCTTTGTTGGGTCTCTCTATAGCTCTTGTTCCATGCTATGTGTCAAAGGAGGCCACCACGTGTGTGACACAGACTGTGGGGGGCGGTCAAAATGGAAGGAAAGAAAGAAGGGTTCCCTGACAATGACCTTAAAACAAGACTCTAACATGTCCTCCTCTACCCAAGTGTCTGGGATGGTAAGATGGGGCAGATGGGAGAGACCTGTGTGGTGGCCCCAGGAGTGTCACCTAGAATTTCCTTCAAGAGAACCCACAGTGGGAGCAGCATTTCCCAGCAACCTGCAGCTGCCATTCCTTGTTATTAATCTTGGCGCTGGCCCCAGGCTGCTCTGCCCTCAGGCTGCTCCCGGCTGGTGATGAGCATGGCAAGGTTCTAGACTCCGGCCATTCCTGCCCACCAGGAGACTTTTTCCCAGGGACCCCAGCAGCCCACTCAGACTGTCTCGTGCCGGTGCCAGGCCCTTTCTTCTCCCTCATTTCATGGTGTCAGCCCTGCTTGCACACATCCCAAAGGTTCCCCCACCTCCTGCAGCTCCCTCCCTGTGACCCTTCTAGATGTTCCCCCAGTAAGTCGCTTGCACATCTAGTCCCATCTCGGTGTCTGTTTCTCAACGAACCTCGACTGACATAGGAGGGGAGGATCCATGCTGCCGCCTGAAGTGTTTAAACACAAAGCACAGCCAGAGTTTGGGGGAACCGCACTCAGGTTTGGATGCTGACTGTCACTAACTGCGTGACCAACATCAAGTGGGCTGCCGTGGCTCCATCCTCCCATCTGTAAGGTGGGAATGAGAGTCACGCATAACTCAGAGGAGTGTCATTTCAAATGCTTGGACTAGGGCGTGCATATAGATGGTAAGTGTTCGATAGTAGTAACTGCCATTCACGCTCTTAGTTACCCCATCTCCTCCTTCTCAAGGGCAGGCACTGCGTCAGACCCATTTTTACAGCCCCAGCACCCCTACAAGGCCTGGCCCACGTGAGGCCCCATTCAATGGTGGTTGAACTTAAACGTATTTGGGTCCTCAAGTTTCACGACCAGGTTGTGGAGGCAGTGTCCCCATGGATGCCCCCGCAGACATGCTTACTACACATACTGTCCTCATGTCAAGTTTATTTCCACCCAGAATACAAACTGCATGCATTCAGAGTCCACATCTTAAACTCCTGTGTAGCCCCTGAGGGCCAGCAGAGCATCTCACATTTAAACATTTTCCCTAAATACCTGCTGGTCAATTGCCCCAGACCAAACAAGAACCATCTTGACTTTCTCTCTTCCATCCAGTCTGCAGGTAACTGAAAAATCCAAGAGGACCCACTGTGCATTCGGGAAAGTAAAAGATAACCCCCCCACCAAAAAAAAAAAAAAAGCCAAATGGTCACAGAAACTCCCTAACAAAAAAATCTTGAGACAGGACAGGCCCATTCTTACTTTTTTGTTTTTCTGAGTCAGAACCACTGGTGGGGATTTCAGTAGAAACATTACTGCATGAAGTCAGTATTTTCCCTAAGGAGAACAGAAAATTAAAATGCCAATTTCAATAAAATGGGAGACTGGAAAAATCTCCACATCTGAACATACAAGTAAGGCCTGCCCAAAGCATCTGAGTCAAGCAGGCTTTGGCAGGAGGAACTGAAAAGAACCACAGAAAGGGATCTCACAGCACAAGGGCCAAATGGTGACCAATCTCAGGAAACGCTAGTAAAAATTCACTTCCTAAATGGAAGATGTGTACGCCGAGACGTAAAACCTATAGCTCTTATCTGGAAAGCGGGATAGGAATGGCAGTGAGCTAGCAGATAGCAGGAGGCCCACTGGTCTCTGAGCTATAGGTTTAGGGCCAGGGTGACATGAAGAATCACATGCACAGGTCACATTTGAGAGAAGTGGTCTATCTAAGTGGCAGCGGGGAAGGAAAAAGTTTCCATGTGATGAAAAGGACCCACCCTGGATCACTATCCAAGCTTTTCCCAGCTCCCCAACCCTGAAACCCCTTAGAAAATCCAGGCTAGAAGTCATTCAGCTTCACTCACATCATTCAGTTATAAGTAATAAACAGAAATTAGCATAGAATTGAAACAATGACCCTACAAAGAGCAGCAAATCCATTAAAAAACTAAAAACGCTCATCAGGGGGAAAAAAGTCATCCTGTAGCAAATAAAAATTGTGACCAAATATTATCTACATATTATATAAAACCAGTGGTGTGGGACTTCCCTGGTGGCACATTGGATAAGAATCCACCCGCCAATGCAGGGAACACAGGTTCGATCCCTGGTCCGGGAAGATCCCACATGCCGCAGAGCAACTAAGCCCGTGTGCCACAATTACTAAGCCTACACTCTAGAGCCTGTGAGCCACAACTACTGAGCCTGCGTGCCACAACTACTGAAGCCCACACGCCTAGAGCCCATGCTCCGCAACAAGAGAAGCCACCACAGTGAGAAGCCCATGCACTGCAACTAAGAGTAGCCCCCACTCACCGCAACTAGAGAAAGCCTGCACGCAGCAACAAAGACCCAACACAGCCAAAAATAAATAAATTAAATCTTTAAAATAAATAAAATTAAATTAAATAAATAAATAAAACCAGTGGTGTGTTAGAGCCAGTTTAAATTAGCTCATGAGATACAATTGTTAAATGTCAAAGAATTTTTGTGAACTAGTTTTTAAACACACCCATTATCAAAAATTAATATATAGAAAGATGCACTGAAATAAATTCTATTTTAAAAATAAAAGTAATACTCAAGCTCATCCCTTCCTAATTATGTTATTATATTTTACTATTATTTATGTTCTTTGGGTTGTTTATGTGTATTGGTGGAAATACTATATAATGGAGGACTTCCAGTCCTGCCAAGGTGCAATAGCCCCATTCCTCCCAGATCCTCCCTCTTACAACTAAAAAACCCTAGACACTGCACAATAAACAAGCATAGGATGACTCTGAAAAGTACAAAAAAGAAGGCAGACCACCTGGGGGAACTCAGAATTTGAGGAATGCCATGCCAGCAAATTCTCTGGGTTTCTTTATTGCCTCCCATGTACATATGCTGGACAAGATGCTACAGAATCTTCCAACCCAGAATCTCCAGCAGACACAGACAAAAAGTACTCCAGAGAAGCCTGTTCTCCTTAGCCGAAGGATGCAAAAGGGTCTGAAGTTGCTGGGCAAACAATAGGCTGCCTTTGGGAGTGTGGGCAGGGAAGCAGACCATCAGAACTGGCAGTGTGGATGTGCAGCAGGATTCCCAGCATCAGTTGGGACAGGAGGCTTTCAGATTGCATGGGCTGCCAGGGGGCTTGCAGAGACGTGGGCTCAGCTAAAATCTAGCCTCAGAGTGGGGAGCTCTGGAGTATAAGTGGCACCACAGAGTTGTCCCACTCTGTCAGTCAGTAGCTGTGGGCATTCCCAGGGAGAAAGCATAACCTCAGGCATTTCCTGGGAAGGTCGCTCCCATTGGGCAAGGACAATTCCAAGGAGCTTTGCTGTGAGTTGATACCAGTCAACGTTGATAGCAGCTAGGAGATGAGTGTAGAGGCCGGGTAAAGGGATCAGGGTGGGGTATCAACAGCAACTGCTACAGCAGCTGACTACAGAAATCAGGAGAAGAAAATAACAAATTAAACGAAAGGAAAGGAGAAAAAATAAATTATTAAAAGAAAAGCAGAAAAGTAATCAGTTAGAAAACAGAAAAGAATAACTAGTAAATCCGAAAGCTGGCTCTTTGAAAACAACCACCATAGAGGTTTTTGTTAAACATTGTACTGGGGGAGTCAGCCAATGCAATTAGACAAGAGAACAAAATTTAGAGAAATCGAAATTGGAAAGAAATGGGTAAAACTCTCACTATTTACCGATGATGCATGTGTTAGGTTGATTGTATTGATGGCCCCTCTGCTTGACCTCTCCTTGATCCCAGTCCTTTGACACTGAAGTTCTCATAAAGAGGCAGAGTCTGCTTCCCCAACCCTTGAGTCTGAGCTTGGCCATGTGACTTGCTTTGGCCATTAAGATATTGGTATCTTTGAGAGACGCAAAGGCTCGAAAAAGTATTTGTGCATTTCCTTGCTCTCTTACTCCTCTGAAATCCCCCCTGAGAATATGCTTGAGATAATCTAAGAACATGCCTGGACTAGCCTATGGGGTGGGGTGGGGTGTATAAAGTAAGAGATAAGTACGAAGAGCTCAGCTGTATCAGCCAAAGCCATCACAGACCAGCCTACCTCCAGGCAACCCCTAAACATGTGGAAGAAGCCAGTCAAGATCAGAAGAGCTGCCTATTCAACCTACAGCTGACTACAGATTCATGAATGAGCCCAGACAAGACTAGAAGAACCCCCCCAGCCACCCACAAACTCATGGTCCATAATATTGATCAATTATTGTTTTGAACTGCTAAGTTTTGCATTATAGGTAACTGATACAATAGTCCTATATACCTGGAAGCCCGCAAGACAACTAAAATTACTACAAACAATAAGAGTTGGCAGGATACACAATTAATAGAAGTTAATGGCTTTCATATAGATACATAAACAATCAGAAAGTACATGAAAGAAAAGATCCCAGTTGCAAAAGTAATAAAACAAAAGAAAAATATACTTAAGAATAAACTTTTTATATGTACATAACTTACCTGAAGAAAACTTTAAAACACTCCTAAAGTACACAAGCAAAAACCTGAACAAATAGAAACATGGACCATTTGTTTTAATAGGAAGAAAGGCCACAAAGAAATCAATTCTCCCTAAGTTAATTTATGCAGTCAATATGATCTAAATAAAAACACCATTAAGGGATTTTGAAGTTCACATATGAAAGGAAACAAGCAAAAACAACCAGAAAAACTCTAAAAATGAGGAGCTATGATCTGTGTGATAAGGCCTCAGTAATTCAAC